AAAGTTGTTTTTATTGTCTCTTATGACAAAATCTATAAATTAAACCCTTGAAAATGCAGATCCTGTTAAAAATTGTTTTTGAAAAATCACATAAAACTATATACATATATATATATATAAAGAGAGAGAGCATAATATAAAGCATTAATTAATTGTTTTGAAGGAGCAGGACACTTAATTTGCTAAGTGTTGTAATGAATGTAATCAATCTTTGATGGGTGCTATTCTGAATACAGATGAAGTGTAATGCTGGATGAGAAGTTGATAATGATGACACTTTTTTCATTTTTGATGAGAAGCTATCTTTTTCCTGGTAACTGATCCTGTCAGTATGTGAAGATTGAGCTTGGCTAATATTTAATGATGCCACACTGGCACTGATACAAGCATTATTATTCAAACATAATTGCATTGAAGATGCAATTAAAATGGCTGTAACACTGACTTGTTTTGGATGTACTAGAATCAAATCAATGTCTAATACAAGACACATTGACAGATTGATTACATTTATTTAAAAACCACAAAACAATGCTTCTTGTTAATATTATTTTGTTGTTTCGAGCAATATTGTGCACCATGCACTAACAGTGAGCTGTGAATCTGTAGAGACCACCCACTCTCTCCAGATAGCTAGTTTCTGTTCAGCCAAACGTTTGGCAGGACATACAGCTTTTGTGTTTTGTGTTGCTTGCTGTCACGAATAAGTTTACCTCAGTTTGAATAAGACCATTTACATAGTAGAGGACATATAATGATCGTTTGATTTATTTGCACTAGTTATATCATGATTAATTTGAATTAGTTACTTAGTTTTTATTTACTTGTGCATTTGTTGTTTACAACAATGTTGCAAAAATTCAAAAGTTGTCTTTTACCTCAAGAATAAAAAAGAAAATATTTTGCATGAAAAAAAATTCATATTTAGCACTATAAACATTTTTGAGGACTGTGGCATTCACAAAATATTTTTTCAATTAAACACATCTGGATAAATTGCTAAGAATTAATTTATCATATTTCCAGATGTTGTTTTGTGATTTATTTATATATATATATATATATATATATATATATATAGTATACTGTCATTTCATGATTTTTCACACAATTTGCAAAAGCTGTACAACTTTACAATTTGACATTTCGACATATTGCTTTTGTTTTATAATGAGAATGAGTTTTTCGCAATACAATAATGAGAATGGTGCGAGAATGGGTTTAATTATCGAAAAATTTAAATCGCAATAAAAAATTAAAAAGTCTTAATGGACTTAATTTGCAGAATATCATTTCATTATTTTCATTCTGGGATGAAATATAACCTGGACATGTCCTTGATGGTTTTGTGAGTTTCTCCCAAAGACATTATGTAGTCGATATGTAAACTTGTATGTCATACAATGGATCTTCGTGGACAATTAGCGCTTTTGAGAAGTAATAACATGATGTGTGGATTGCATAGAGAATTTCCTCCCACTCTGAACAAGAGAAGTTTGGCAGTGCCCTGAAGCAATTCTCATTATGGAATTCAGCAGTCATATCTAGATGCATCTCCAAAGGTTTGATTTGGTCTGCCAAAAGCATCCTTTGGAGCAGGTCCATTTCTGTTCCTTCTGTTCCTAGATCACTCATTCGATCCTGTTTATTTGCGCTTGCTAAAACTTTGTCTAAGTCAAATGTGTCATTATAGCCAGTGAGTTTGTTGGCAAGACAAAACAGACATCCATTCTGCCGATCACATTCACAGACCGCTTTATCTGAGCCAGACTTCTATTGTATTTGTTTCTGTTTATTTGTTCTGTTGTATTTACAATATGTGCTCTGGCATTCACACAGATAAAACAGCAGGAGTATCTCGGAGAGCTGTAAAATCAGTGTGAGTGCAGTGGAGATAATATGTCCCATAAAAAGCAAAGTGTCTCTTGTCCTCTAAGCGGTATGCGGTCACCCCAGAGCAAAGACACGGACACAACTTCTCATTCACTGCCGCACATCTCTATCTCCCTCAATGCAAACAGAGGGATCAATCTCAAGCTCAGTGAGTCCAGTGATCATATCAGCGTCTTAAAGGCACACAAGAAGAAAAGACGAGGGGAGGATACGGCAAACATTGCATCACATTTTCATTAGGGTCTGGTTTAGACAATGAGTGTGTTAATATGGCCTGATACTATCTGTAATTATCAAAATAACTCGCACGAGCACTTCCGCAGTGGAGACATACCCAAAGCTAAATACCTTATATCAGGGGTGCCCAAACTCGATCCTGGAGGGCCGGTGTCCTGCAGAGTTTAGCTCCAACTTGCCTCAACACACCTGCCTTCAAGATTATAGAATGCCTAGTAAGAGCTTGATTAGCTGCTTCAGGTGTGTTTAATTTTGGTTGGAGCTAAACTCTTCAGGACACCGGCCCTCCAGGACTGAGTTTGGGCACCCCTGCCTTATATGGAGAGGCACGGAAAATGGCTTCAAAAATGAAAAACTACTGAGCAATAGATCAAAAATTTGTCAGACACAGTCACTCCTCGTGTTTGGTAAGCCAAAGGAAAGCACAATCGTATGCATTAACTTCTAAAATTAAACATAAACTTTTAAAATAATGCAATGATGAGTGTGTGAAGTGAATGAGCGAAACGTAGCTTCCTCTGTGCGTCTCTCAGAAATCAGCGCTTGACCAGAGTAATATCAACTAAGATACTGAATCATACATGTTTCTCTCAAGCTCTCACTACTTTATTAACTTCCCATTTTTTTGGAGAATTAGCTACAATCGTTGTCCATTTGGAGCGTCTCTGTCATTTTACTACACTCGTTCACCTTGGGATCGTTTAGTCCGCCAATTTCCTTAGATCACAGGTCTTGTTTTTTTTCCACCATGAATTAGTAATATCTTATAATTGGACAGCTGTGGGCTGGTTGCAAGCTGTTCAAACAAGTGCATTATGTGTCAGTATTTGTTCAATCTTGAAAATGATCCAGACTCTGAGTCACTCTGTAAATATGTCAGATGTATCTAATGAAACTGAATCACATTGCATGGTGTTTTTTAATCAGGGACAGAGTTATTGTGCTGATATTATGCACTCAAGCAAATAAAAAGCAGTAAACTATATATTCTGATAGGATAGGATAGGATAGGATAGATAGATAGATAGATAGATAGATAGATAGATAGATAGATAGATAGATAGATAGATAGATAGATAGATAGATAGATAGATATAGATTTTTTTTTATAATAACATTTTAAAGAGGATTTTCATCGTTGAGAATATTTAGGGGAACAAATTAACTTCTGCTTGTGTGTGAAAAAGTCTGAGCATGTCAGATGTTTTCATTATGATTTGAAGTTGCTGAAGTGTCATTAATCAAACTGGTGTTCTCGATAGGCCGCCGGGCTGCGCCTCTGACTTACACTGGCGTTTTCTATCCTTCTTTGCATCTTTTCTTTTGTTAGCTCCTCCTGCAGTCTGTCTGTGGGCCACTTGATTTATGCAATGTCAGATTACATAACTGCAGCATAGCGCATTTTGCCATACATTCCCAGTGCAGGAATGGGACCTTGAATAATAAAACGGCTTATCCCGTGAATTGTCAGCTTCATTAAATTATTCACGCATTGCAATGGGTACAGACAGGCTCTCCACCACTGGAGCAGAGAATTGACGCTTGAGAAATGAGAAATCCTTATTGTTTGCCGATATTGCTGTGTTTTTAATTAAATCGGAGGGCTAAGTCTCTTTTTATTATGTTTACCATTCTTTGCCGCACAGGTGGACCAGCTTCAGTTGAGCTATATGGAACTTTGAAGCAAGAGTTTTATATTTTTAATAATTTATGCCTAAAACCCAGACCTCCATCTGATAGTTTATGTGTGAAGGGATTCAAGTAAACAGTTAAAACATATACTTGCTTTTACCGAAAAACTAGCTTCACTTCAAATTAAAAATGAGTTTACATGTTAGTAAGTCAACAGTTACTGTTTCATTATTTGGCAGTAAATGGCAAAAAAAAATCGTATAAATATATAGATATGTTGTGTGTGTGTGTGTGTGTGTGTGTGTGTGTGCGTGTTTTTGTGACAAATGAGGACATACATTTGTATAATGACAAAGGTATGACATAGGTATTACAAGGAGAAGGTGACTTTTCAGGACATTACCCCATGTCCCCACTTTTCAAAACGCTTATAAATCACACAGAATGGAGTGTATTGCAAATCTGAAATAGCACAAAGTCTCCTGTGAGGGGTAGGTTTAGGGGTAGGGTTGGTGTAGGGCAATAGAATATACAGTCTGTACAGTATAAAAACCATTACGCCTATGGAGAGTCCCCACTTTTCACAAAAACAAACCTGTGTATGTGTGTGTGTGTGTGTGTGTGTGTGTGTGTGTGTATGTGTGTATACATGTGTGTGTGTGTTTTTGTATACTGTATGTCATGTAAATAATTTAGCACATTTAGATTTTTTATTTTGCAACTGTTTGCACAAAAGAGTTGTTGTTTTTTTTTATTAAAATGGTAACATTTTTAAGCAGATTTTTGTCATGATACTGAGAATTTTTGGAGAAACAAATTAACTTCTGCTTGTGAGTGGAAAAATCTGAGAACGTCATATGTTTTCATTTAGATTTGCAAATTAAAAAATTGTTTATATGTTTGTAAGTTAATACTTACTGTTTCAGTTATTTTCAATTATTTTTATCTTCATTTATTCAATCCTGCCATACCCTATTACTGATGAAATCCCACTTACTGACAAGTAGCACATCACCTTTCACATTATAGGCCACATTTTAATAATCAAGAGATCAGCCAGTATGTCACATTATGTTGACGATCACGTAGCCACTGTACCTGTCTATGTCGGCAACATTTGCATGTTTGATGGAGCGAGTAAGTCGTTTCATTCAGTTCCCATCAAAGAAAATGAGATTCAGAGACTCAGTAGTGTCTCATCACACTCATGCCATCTTGACTCTCTTTTTGCCTGTCAGGGTTTCTGTTGGTGTAGCCGTCAAGCATGAAGTGGAATTTGTTCAAGAAGAAGCCTGCAGCCATGGTGGGCCCCGAGCCCACAGGTGCCAGTGCCCTGACCATGGCCCCTGCTGTTTCCACACCTGCAGACAACTCCACTGAGCACCAGGGCCCAGTCAGCAAGAATGACGTTTTTGGTGACATCAAAAACAAGTTCCTCAATGAGATGGACAAGCTTCCACGTGAGTATTTGACTATTGTGCGATATTTCATAATCCCTAACCAGAGACCAACATTTCTAATGTACCTCAAGCTCCAAACTCAACTCAGATCTTCAGACTCTGCTGTTTAGTGTGTTGTATCTTTTCTAACCGATTGGACCATGTCAGGCTCTACTGTGCTGCCTAGAAAAACCCTAGCAATGCCCTAGCCAACATAAAAGTCTGTCTTGACTAGGGCTGCCCCCGATTTTCTATATCTATATTCTCTACGATTTTTCTAGTCGGCTAGTAGTTGTTCATTTAAGCCATTACTAATTGCATGTCTATATTAATCTAATTTATTAAATATATACTGACAAGAATATGACTACGAATGTGTCTGGGAAAAAAGAGCTGGAGATATTTTAATTATTTATTAATAAACTAATGTTTTCTGAGTCATTGTCGGTTGCAGGGATGAAGTTGATGATTCTGACTCACCATCTCCATCATCGCTAGAGTGTTTTCGATTTTAATAGATTTGTTTAAAAGTAGACATTTCAAACTTTCTATAGATATATTTCTCATATCTGTGAGGCAAGTAGCTATGGAATGCCGTTTCTGCCACTGTATTTAAAATAAAATAAGGTAATTGTGACTTTTTATCTCACAATTCTGACTTTTTTCTCCCAATTGCAAGTTATAAAGTCATAAGTGTGAGATCTAAACTCACAATGCTTAGAAAAAAGTCAGAATTGTGAGAAAAACTTGCAAGAAAAGGCAGTCGTGGCCTAATGAGAGTTAGACTTGTAACCCAAAGGTTGCAATGTTCGAGTCTCGGTACCAGCAGGGATTGTTGGTGGGGGGAGGGAATAACCAGTGCTCTCTTCCTCCTTCAATACCACAACTGAGGTGAGACCCTTGAGCAAGGCAATTGTACGAAAATTGTCCGTTTTTTTTTTATATGGAATTGAACTTTATGGGCCAGATTTACAATCAGCTTGTGCCAGCGTAAACCCTCATTTGGTGTTAAAAAACTAATGTCAGGACTTACTAAAGACAGGCAGTGAAGAATTAGCACTGAAAAGGCGTGGACATGGTTATTTTTACAACTCACCTTATTGAATATGTATTTGTAGGAGTTTCTCTTTCGATCTGTAAATTTATGGGAGGAGAGTATTTAAATGAATCACGCAACGCGACTTATTAAGATTTGCGCTTGTCAATTCACTGGTATTTGTGGCATTATTTAATGCCCCAAAAAAGCATGTCTTAAAGCAGGCGGTAATTTGCTCTGCTCTGGTAGATTGCGCTGGTAATTATGGGAATGAGATGTTGCATCTTTGTTCATTAATGTGCGCATTGTCAGTAAATCACACGCAGAATTTTCCCCTCCCATCTGCGCTTTTGTGGAATTGCGCTCTAACTCTAATTTGCCCTGTTTAGTAAATATGGCCCTAGAACTTGCACTCATGCAACTCAGAATTGCGAGGCGTAAACTCGCCATTGCGAGAAAACGTCAGAATTGTGAGATAAAAAGTCACATTTTTTATTCATTGGTGGAAACAGGATTCCATAAGTATAGCCTATACGGTGAGTTTAGTTTCATTTTTGTGATGTGCTTCAGTTCACGGAGACCGAGACAGCAAAAAGCGCATCCTGTTTGTTTTCTTTATTTTACATGTTTTGTTGTTATTGTCAGTGTACACAAATAAAAGTTGACCCTTTACAGTTTCAAATGATACATTACTCGTATCTGCATGAGCAAAAATGACGGCATATTTTAGGTTGTTTCCACTTGTTTCCAAAATGCAAGTGATCGTGTCGGTGCTTCCATGTCATGCAGTAGCATGTTAACAGCTTCCACATTTCGCACAAACTCTAGGATATCTAAAATTGCGTTTATCTAGGTTAACGTAAGAGTGAGCAGCCGTGTAAAGTTGCCTCTACTTATGTTTCATGTTCAAATGATAAGCCATATATGAGGTCAGTGAATGATATGCTATGGGCTAATTACCAGGGGTGTTGTTAGGCCCTTTTTAGTGGGGCTTCAGCTGCGGATTCTCCCCGTCTTTTAGTCAGCGTTATTCAGCGTGTTCTTGGCACAGTGATAGTGTCAGAAGCACAGGACAAGGTGTGTGCATTTATGGATAGATTGTTATGATATCTCCATCTGTGCAGTTCTCAAGAGTGAGCAGCCGTGTAAAGTTGCCTCTACTTATGTTTCATGTTCAAATGATAAGCCATATATGAGGTCAGTTAATGATATGCTATGGGCTAATTACCAGGGGTGTTGTTAGGCCCTTTTTAGTGGGGCTTCAGCTGCGGATTCTCCCCGTCTTTTAGTCAGCGTTATTCAGCGTGTTCTTGGCACAGTGATAGTGTCAGAAGCACAGGACAAGGTGTGTGCATTTATGGATAGATTGTTATGATATCTCCATCTGTGCAGTTCTTTGTCATAAATGCAGTTTACATAATGGGATGTAGGAGCATTACAAAACATTTTTTTCATCCACGGTAAAGTTTTCACTGCATTCACCCTTTATCACACCTACATTGTTTCCTCTAGTGAAAATGGAACGTGAAGACAAACTTCTTTTAAAAATTTTGTTTTAAAATTGAAACATATCATTGTGGATGTGGCATTAGATGAACATCATGCATAGAAATGATTAAAGACACAATCACACTGTAAAAATGATTTGTTGGTTTAAATTAAGTAGCCTAACCTGGTTGCCTTAAAATGTTGATTTAAACTAAAGAATTGATTTGACAAAATATTTGTGAAAAGTTATGATAATAAATCATGTAAATATTTTTTAAAGTGATGACAGACAGCACTCAGTCAATGTATTAATTTAAACTGCTTATCATAGTGAATGACAGGGACAGAGACACATCATGTGGAGTTATTTCATTCTGCTAAATAATGACCCAGCAGATGATTGTGACATTTATAGCCTAAGAGTAAATTGATTTGTGGTTTTTGATGTCACTTTGAATTATAGAAGTGGCAAATTGATAGATCTATGTGTTGTTATTTTATTAATTAATTTTTTTAAATAAAAAAGGAATGGTTTAAAGGGGTCATGAACTGCCTTTGTTTTTTATTTCGTAATGTTCTCTGAGGTCCACTTTTAATGTAAGATTTTTACATCAAAAAACATAATTTAGAGGTAATATTTTCTGTCCTGTTTTAACCCCCCTCATCAGAACGCTCTGCTTGAACAGGCATGGAGGATTATAGACTCGGAAGTAAATGCCCACTGCTATGATTGGCTAATAGTTGTTCAATTCAATTCAAGTTTATTTGTATTGCACTTTTCACGATACCAATCGTTGCAAAGCAACTTTACAGAAAATATGAATGTTTCTACATTACATTTAGGAGTAGATTATTAGTGGTGACTATGGCAGAAATGTACAATAAGAATCATGCAGTTAGTTACAAATTACACAATCAAAATGACGGTGAACACTATTAACTGCAATGATTATATGTTGCGATTAAACTTTGTGATTGCGATTAAATGTTGCGATTAAGCAACATTTGGTAGTTTTATATGTTGTTCCAGGGTTAGCATCATCTGAGGTCTTCTGGGGGTTGGCATCATCTCTTCTCAGGTGTTCGGTCATCTCAGATCTTCGTAAAGGTTGGATCCAGACTGAATCTTGTGTAATTCCTAGTTGCCTCGGGATGCAATCCCGTGCAATTGATCAGATACAGCTGAAGTACAAAGTTACGAGATACATTATGTGAATGCTTGGCTAAAAATATGTCTTTAATCTAGATTTAAACAGAGAGAGTGTGTCTGAACCCCGAACGTTATCAGGAAGGCTATTGCAGAGTTTGGGAGCCAAATATGTAAAAGCTCTACCTCCTTTAGTGGACTTTGCTATCCTAGGTACTACCAAGAGTCTGGAGTTTTGCGACCTTAGGGAGCGTGATGGATTGTAGAGTGATAGAAGATTAGTTAGGTACGCAGGAGCTAGACCGTTAAGGGCCTTATAAGTAAGTAGTAATATTTTGTAACTGATGCGGAACTTAATAGGTAGCCAGTGCAGAGACTGTAAAATTGGGGTAATATGATAATTTTTTCTTGACCTGGTAAGGACTCTAGCAGCTGCATTTTGGACTACCTGTAGCTTGTTTATTGAAGTTGTAGGACTACCACCTAGCAGTGCATTACAATAGTCCAGTCTAGAGGTCATAAATGCATGAACTAGCTTTTCTGCATCAGAAACAGGTAACATGTTCCATAGCTTGGCAATGTTTCTAAGATGAAAAAATGCTGTTTTTGTAACATGAGAAATATGATTTTCAAAAGACAAGTTGCTGTCTAATATAACACCCAGATTTTTGACTGTAGAGGAAGTAACAGTATATCCGTTTAGATCCAAATTGTAATCCAAGAGATTCTGTGTACTGTTTTCTTGGTCCAATAAGTAATATCTCTATCTTTTCTGAATTTAAAGGGGTCATATGATGCAATTTCAATTTTTCCTTTCTCTTTGGAGTTTTACAAGCTCTAGGTGCATAAAGAAGATCTGTAAAATTGCAAAGATTAAAGTCTCAACTCCAAAGAGATATTCTTTATAAAAGTTAAGAGTCAACCACGCCTACCTAAAACGGCTCGTTCTAACACGCCCCCACATGTCTACGTCACGATGTGGGAAGATTTGCATAACGCCGCCCAAATGTTCACGCAAAGAAAGAAGGCGTAACTTTTATTCTCGCTGTAGTATTGTTGCTGCCATGTCATGAAGGCGCTGTGTGTTTCGTTTTGAAAGCGAAACTACTTAGTTTGGCTTTCCAGAAGAGGACAATATCTGCTTCGTCATGCCTGGAGCTGATCCATGCTGGTCGCTGAGGAAATACATCAACTTCGCGCTGTGGATCGCCAGATCGACTTTCACCGTGGACGAAGCGGAGTCCAGCCCGGGGTTGTCACATGCGGTTACCGCAAGCCTGGTGGACGCTCCTTCGTCGAATCTGACAGCCGCACCGTTCTCAAGCCCGCCCGCCGCCACTCAATCAAGCCGGACTCCGCTCACTCTAGCCCGCCGTGTGTTTCGTTGTGAAAGCGAAACTACTTTGTTTGGCCTTCCAAAAGAGGACATGAATAGCAACATCATATGACCCCTTTGATAGGAGAAAATTATTGGTCATCTAATCTTTTACATTTTTAACACACTCTGTTAGCTTAGATAATTTAGAAGTTTTACACCGTCACGCCGGAATGGGCTCTGGCCATACGGAGGCTGGCAACCGCCTTCGAGATTGGTACCACTTGCCTTCTCAAAGCGTTCCAACGGATGCTGGGCCTCATGGCGGTGCTCTACAGTTGGGTCTGCTTCGTATGCGCATACTTCAGCGCTGTTTGAAACCACGGGTTCCATCCCATGCGTGGCATCACGGATGCCTGCAGATCAGAGTGAGTCAGGCCTGTGTAACAGCCCTGGCCCCCTGGAAGAACTCCCGCTGGATGGAACAGGGCGTGGCCATGGGGATGGTTTGCAGAAGGACAGGTGTCTTGTGAACCAAGGAGCGGATATGCTATCAAGGAGCAATGTCCCCTCAGGGGAGTGGATGCTCCATCTGCAGACAGTTCAGAGGATCTGGGAGATCTTCGGCGAGGTCGAGGTGGACCTCTTCGCCTCAAGAAGACAACTCTCACTGCCCAACTTATTTCTCAAAGACCAGGGATGCGTTGACCCACGATTGGCCCAACCTCCTTCTTTATGCTTTTCCCCCGATCGCTCTGATTCCACAGGTAATCAGGCGAGTAAGGGAACAAAAATGCTAGGTTCTCCTGGTGGCCCCCCTTTGGATGAACCAGCTGTGGCTATCAGAGCTAACTCAGCTATTGATAGTGGCCCCTTAGTCTGTTCCGCTGAGACAGGATCTCCTCTCTCAAGCGAACGGGACAATATGGCATCCTCGGCCCAACCTATGGGCCCTGCACCTCTGGCCGCTCGACGGCAGCCTTCGAACCTCCCAGAACGAGTCTTAAACACAATTTCGGAGGCTAGAGCCCCATCTATGAAATGCCTCTATGCCTTTAAAGTGGTCTTTTTTCTCCACTTGGTGTCTAAACCGCGGCAAAGACCCTCATACTTCCGATTTGACAGAGGTGTTGTCATTTCTGCAAGAGCTGCTGGATAAGGGACGTTCCCCATCCACACTCAAAGTCTATGTGGCGGCTGTAGCGGCCTCTCATGCCCCAATTGAGGGCCAATCGGTGGGCAGAAACAGCGTGGTCATCTGCTTCCTAAGGGGTGCCAGGAGGCTGAATCCGCCTCGTTAACCTACTGTCCCTTCATGGGATCTGCTGAGGCCCCGCTTTCGAGCCGCTACAGTCTGCCAACATCCGGTCGCTATGTCGCTTTCAGACCTAACAATAGGTCTGAAAGAAAATCTGCAAATTCTTTAGGAAATCTGTATACGGCCCTGGCGGTCTATACACAGTTGCCAGAGCAAGAGATTTATTTTGCATATCTGACAGTGTAACATTAAGTAGAAGTATTACGAATGAGTTAAACCTGTATCCTGTTTTTTGAGTAAAATTGAGAATATCACTATATATTGCTGCAACACTGCTGCCACGACCAATCTGACGGGGCTCATGCTTATAACAGTAGCTTGGTGGAGTAGCTTCATTTAGACCAATATAGCCATTTGGTTTGAGCCAGGTTTCAGTCAAGCAGAGTACATCAAAACTATCATCTGTGATCATTTCATTTACAATAACTGCTTTGGGTGTGAGTGATCTAATGTTTAGGAGCCCAAGCTTTAAAAATTGTTTTTTGTTCATTTTACATTTTTCTGGCTTAATCATGATCAGATTTTTACTAGATCCTGCATTAAATTTATATTTTGGCCTCACTATTCGGGGAACAGACACAGTCTTTATACATTGGACAATGCAAGTACTTCTATCATTTAAGTGGGTAGAACAAAAACCATCATAGCAGTTATTTGAGAATTGGCTTACTAGTCATATGGAGCGTAGCGTCCTGGAGATGTTGTCCAACAGGACAGGAGTTCCGCTCCGACTCTGCTGGGGTGCAGGCCATCAGCGCGAAAAAGCCTAGGTCGCCCCCAGAAAAGTTTCCAATTATTAACAAAGAGCAGTTTCTGTTCTTTACACCATGACAATAACCATTCGTTTAAAGCAAAAAGTCTACTGAACCTTTTGTGTCCTTGTCGATACGTGGGAAGCGGTCCTGACATGATGATCGTCGTCACGGGTGATCTGCTGCATTTAATGAAAATCTCGATCAGGCTTCTGAAGTCCCTCTTCTAAAAATAGATGATAAAGAATTAACATGACGGAGCTTCAACGCAAAACATGCGGCAGCAACACGTTTATGTATGTTTGACAGCATACATTCCTTCACAGATGGATGCTGCTGTGATTTAGGTCAAAAACACATAAATACTCATATCAAATGATCTGTTTATCAGACAAAGCAATAGTGATCACGTAATAAATACAGTTTACACAAATACACGTGTGTGCTGCGATATCGAATCCAATATAGTCGGCACAGCATCGTCTTTTAGTTCCAATCTTTCTGAAAATCCTGTGTCCAATTGTGTCTTTTTAGAAAACAAATCCGCAGTAAAATGAAGTGAACAAAGGACCAAGTTCTTACTGATGCGGTCTGGCACTTCATTAAAAATAAAGTACATCAAATAATGTTTATCCTTTGGTTTATGCATAGACCTGTGTTTGCCGCTCTTGTCATTTACCTACTACATGTGCGAATCGGTGGGCAGGGCTAAACAGGCAGCAATGTAGAAGCAGGCGTTGATAATCTTCTGCGGAGGTGGTGCTTAGTCACTCTATTACATCATAGAGTCGTACATTCCACAACCATATTGTCCTGTGGTTTTGGCAGACTGCCTTCAATATAAGCTGTTTCTAGACTAACAAGAAAGTTTTGAGTTCTGAAACTTACAGGATGTTTCTATAGCAAAATGACCTCTTATTTATCAAAAGATCAAGGACATTTTTATTTCTCAGTTCATGACCACTTTAATATATAGAGTAGATTAAACATACTGCCTAACTAGACAGTTACAGTAATATAAGGTTTGTCCATTCTAAATAAATATAAATTAATATGATCTGGTTAGTTTAAATCATTTGAAATCAAATCAATATTCAGGGGTTTACTTTATAGGTATAGAACCTATTGTATGTATTGTTAAACAGTATAAACACTTAAACAGTTTTAATCTCTCATTGTGGATTGAGCCCCCCTAATATGGAAATCCTAGAATCGCCCCTGGTAATTACCTCAAGGACCAGTCATTAACAATCAGGGTTTTTTTTCTGTGACTAACAGACTAATAACATTTTGGTCCACTAAGCCTCTTCTCATCAACCAGCGTTTAGTCTACAATGAAGCCTGATTCTAAAATGTCATTGTCTAGAATATGCCTAAAGCTATGGCTTTACAGTTGCATACACTCATACAAGCAGTGAGTATGAGTGTAAATAAACTTGTAACAAACTTTAGTCCTGTTCTGTATTGATGAAGGTAATGGTGAAGACAAACACCGCTCTCTTAATGACCCTGATAAATCTGGATTTGTATTTCCAGCCTCTGTTCCTCCATCTTTCTCTGTCCTTCTCTTTTAGTGCCTCCATGGGCCATCATCGCCATCGCGATCGTAGCCGTGGTCCTCATTCTCACGTGCTGCTTCTGCATCGTTAAAAAGACCTGCCTTAAGAAGAAAAAAGGCAAGAAGGGAAAGAAAGGCAAGGGAGACATGGGAATGAAGAACATGAAGGGAGGAGAGGTATGACCACCCGACACCAGCACACTTCACCCTTAAAGGGATAGTTCACATCAAAATGAAATATTTATATCATACTTACTCATTCTGATGTTTCGGCTCTGTATCTTTTTCTTTCATGACACAAAATGAGACGTTATGGAAAAAAATGTACAAGCTGTTCTTTTAGATAAAACGAAAGTAGATGGTAAGCTCCAAAATGATATAAAAATTCAGATAATAATGCCATACATGTGCAGCTTGAACATGTTTCTAAACATCTCCTTTTATGTCTCACAACAGAATGACTTGAGAGTTAATAAATGATGTCTAAATTTACATTTTGGGTGAACTATTCCTTTAAAACCGTATGAAGAGACAGAAAGATTAATATTTTTCCACTTGCTAATTTCCGTCTGCTGCTAATGAGTTTAATAGGGTTCGATACATATCTAATCTGAATCTTTCCCTTGTTTAATGCCTTTAACAATGCAATAGCTATATTTGAAAGACTCAGCAACGGTCTGTTTTAAAAAATGGCTGTGTTACTACCTCACATATCCTTAATATAGCTTCTAGGTCAAGCAAATGGATGGTTGGTATTTTGGAAAGATTTTTTAGCCATTTAATATTCATGGAATATAAAATATTCAGTGTTGTACGTCATTTTCTGCCTGTAAAGCAGGAAAGCTACATGAAAGATTTCCCGCCACGTCATTTCATTTGCCGTGTTCGTATAATTTGGTTTCCAAAAGAATGTATGTGCTGTTAATCTCTTGTGCTTTTGTGTTAAAAATGACACATTTTCCAGCGAACGCACAGCAGCACTAAATCTTTTTTTATCTGTGCTGGAAGTATAATAGCTGAATAGCTGAAGAGTTTTGCTGTATTTGCCGTGTTGTGTCAGATCCCGCTGTGTGCTGTATGTTTGCTATTGTGACAAGCTAATTTCCCTTTGGGAATCATTAAAGTTTTGCCTGTCATATAATATATAATTTTCTATATAAAAAAACTCTCAGAAAAACTTAGATGTGCATAAGCACCATCAAGACAGGCTTATTATTTATGGGAGACCAGGGTTTATTGTAACATATTTTTTTCCGTTCATAACCAACTGTGTACTGCATATTTATCTGCTAGATTTTTGTACAGTATAAGTGCCATTTACTGTATATGTGGCAAAAGTAACTCTTTAATAGACTTATAATGATAATGACTAGAATTGATATTGAATTAAATATTCATATCACTGTTAATATAAATACAAATATATAAAATAATAGTAAAAAAAAATGCCTAAAGAATTTCATTTGGTTACAAAAATTACAAAAAAAAAAAAAAGTACAGTATTTTAACTGACTATTCATATTGACAAAGTTCAAAATCGGTAACTGCTCAGTGCTCAATATTAACTATAAATTGAAATATAGTTATACCATTTCAAATCAGGCTTATTATAGATAACTAAAGCTAAAATAAAAAAAGTGTTTGTTACTTGAAATAGAATAAAAACTAACTATAAAAACAATTATTGATTTTAGCTAGTTGCAGAAGCAACATTTTTCATGTTCATATTTTTACTAAAAGAAATAAAACTAAAACAGAAGTAATACAAATAAAAATAATGTAGGCATATTTTAACAACACCTAATAAAAATTGCAAAAACACAACAAAATTATTAAAATTAAATATTTAGATGCTATGCTAGAAACATATATTTTAAATATAAAATTTTTGTTCAATTATACAATTGTATTATTATTGTTATTATTTTTGTTATTACTAATATATATTATATAATACATATATACTTATATAATATAATATTATATGATAGTATATAAAATATTATTTTATAATAATAATAATAATAACTCTTGTTAACTGATGATGTCATGATACAATTTAATTTTTTTTTAAATGTACGATTCAAGACATTTAAGGGGTTACAGTTGCCCTCAGTCTCCCGTACTGTACAATAAAAGTGCCTCAAATGTGCCTCTATGTTATTTGTTTCTCAGATTTCTTTGGCTAAATTTGATGTTTGTATTAGCCAATAACGTAACATGTTTATTTAAACCAAAATGTGTCATTTTTGATACATGTCCATTAAGTGTTACTTGATTTCCTCTGCTTGATTCTGTCTTCTGTGAGTTCAATCTCTCCCTCTCTCTCCATTTCTTCATCTCTCTATCCTTCCTGCTTTATGTCTGATATGTGCTCCGTGTATCTTGACTGTGCTGGACCCGTCTTCTCACGGTAGGTGTGACATGGCTTGCAGCACCCCTCTCTGACTGCCTGGTGTAAGCTCAGACCAGGGCGGGGGAACTGGGCTATGAAAACTGGCTGGGAATGAACTCTTTGGCTTCTTCTTGAGTCTTGCAAGCTACAGGGGTGCTGAGGTTGCTTGAGGAGCTAGTTTGGGGTTGGTTTGGGGAGGGCTCGCATTCCACCAGTTTGACATACCACATGAACACCGGCGGGATGGGGAGTACACACAAACGAGTAGAAGGAATGGCCCTTTAGAAGTGGATGTGCATTTGGTTATGAACTTAAACTTCATCCTAGCTTACTGAGAGACACCAACACACCAATCCTCACTAACATGCATGTTGAAAGGGTACGGTTGGAGATTTGTCCTCTAAAAGCTGCTCCACCTATTGCAAATCTGTCCCTTAAATGATCTTAAGTTATGCAACATACATGTATCTTTATATATTGTTTTCTTAAAGCAGTTAACTGGCAGCAAAAGAAACCAAAGACATGTCCAGATGAGGTGAAGCAGCATTTGAGACAATGCCCAATGCATGCCCTTCATACAGGCACCAGTGATTGACCATGACTTGACTTGAGAGTAACTTTCCTGGACGACCCATTGTGTGCAAAGATGCAAAGAAACTTTTCTTTTCTTCCTGAAATGTAGAGATGAGTCGTGGGATGAAGTAGGTGGCGTGGGAAACAGCCGTTCACCAGGAGAACTGTTAAAATGGTTTAGTTTGTTTTATTGCTTTTGTGTGTGTGTGTGTGTGTGTGTGTGTGTGTGTGTGTATGTATGTATGTGTGTGTGTGTGTGTGTGTGTGTGAGAGAGAGAGAGAGAAAAAATTGTTAAGGGGGATATGTGTAATATTTTTAGTGTTCGAACTCTTAATGTAAACGATGCGGAAATACGTGACTTCTCCTGAAATTTGAGAGATATTTTAAGGCAGTAACCTGAGCTATAAATGTGTGGTATCACTCCAGAGCTGCAAAAAAAATAAAAATAAAAAATGGGATCCTGATGTGCCGACAACTGATTGGCTGAATGATCTCAAACCCAAAATGATAACATGATAACGTCATGATAACATAATTTTTGGATGAACTATCCCTATAAGACAGCAGTTTGGGTAAAATATAAGCCCCCCCAAAAGATATCCAATTTTACATTCAAGTTTTTTTTTCCCTTTGGAAGAAGATTAATACTCACCAAGGATGCATTTATTTGAAAATAAATTTTAATTATTTTTTTATTTAATCAACCAGTGGTGTGTGTTTGGGGCAACCAATGACAGATGACATGGGAAATCTGTTAGAAAACAATCATCTTTGCAATTCCACAAAGCTAGTGGTGCAGAAATTACACACTTCTCCTTTGATATCTCACTGCCCTGAGAACTGAACAGGGGTTTAATTTAGCATGTTTAAATTGTCTTCATTGTCAATAATTCCACTTAATGTGTATACATTTTACTGGTTTCTCACTAATAAAGCACATCATAAATTTTGGACACATAATAGGCTAGTGTTTTTTCTTGGGGCAGTGATTAGCACCTAAAAAAGTTAGACTGAACAGGTTTAAATTAGGAACTTAAATCATAATGCAATAAACATGGTTAATCATGCTGATTTGATCACAGGGTTGTTGGTGCAAATAATTGTTTATTGTGAGTGATTGATTTCTCCATCTGCCACCTTTACTAAGATGAATGTGCTGTAACTTAGCATGACTGCCTCTGAATGCTCAATGCAAGTCTCCTGAAGGTTACGCAAGAGAACCACTGCATACTTCATATTAGCAGTACCACATTATTCTGTTACATCATTAATCATCCTCCAGATTTAATGCCAGCATCTTTTTATTCACTATGTCTTGAACAATTATGCAATCAACAAGGAATATTTTCAGACTTTGCATTTTGTGGCTTGGCATGCATGAATGCATTCTATCCCGTCAGTTAAGATATAAGAAATGGTGCTTTTTTTATGTGCGTGTGTGAGAGAGTGTGTGTGTTTTTGAGTTTGCGTGTGTTTGTATATTTTGGGGTGAGTGGTCAGGAAGGACGAATCCTCCCCCCAAGCATTTTTTGTTCTATTTAGAGACATTCTGATTCAACTCTTTTCGTTCATCTTGTATTCTTGTATTTCTTTTCTTCTCTTGTTTTTCCCAAAGCTAAAGCAGACATCTCCTTCTATGTAAGCTAATATTTGCTGTTTCACTAGCATTGTGTTTGAGGCTGCATAAATTCTTCAAAGTGCATAACAAATCTCAGAAATGCTTGATCTGATGAACAGTCGCAGCGGGGATCCGGTAATGCTGTTAGATGTTCCCACGTGGATGAGCTTGCTGGGGTCACTACTACCCCCAAAGCAGTGTTAGTCATGTAACAGGGTTATGTACTGTGTTAACTCCATCTCTTTCAGAGGACACAAATGCTAGGCTAGCAGAGAGAAACTTTCGGTTATCAGCATATTGTCTGGTCTACTTTACCGCTTACACCGTGTCCTAACCAGTGTGATGCGATAAGATTTCAGAGACAAGTAATTTGTCTGTTCACAAAAGATGTGTCATGGTTATGTGACGTGAAAAAAATCCATCAAAAACCACAGCCAATCAGAACAGTCTGTGGGCGGAGTCTCTCCGTAAGTGCACTACGCTTATAACAACATGGATGAGTACATAATCTAATTTGTAAATATTAAACCATTTTACCATTATTAAAAATGCATACTGAGAGACTGATGCAATCTTTTTTATGAATACACTTCACACTGAGGTCAGTTTATGTTTATTTTAATTTATTTCAAAGCAGGGTACTGTAGATGATTTGGTTGAAAAACAAATTTTTTTGTTATGCTGGTTGAAAATCTTTTCACAACCCTATAACAATCACTAATGGTGTGTTCACACCAAAAGTGAATTTAATTAAGTGTTGTCAAACGATTAATCGCGATTAATCGCATCCAAAATTAAAGATTTGTTTAGATGATATATGTGTGTACTGTGTATATTTATTATGTATAAATAAATGCACACATACAGCATATATTTTGAAAATATGTACATGTATTTATATGTATATATTTATATTCATATAATTTATATTATATTATAAATATATTTAATATATAAACAACATATTTTTCTTAAATATATACATGCATGTATTTATATATACATAATACATAGACATAGTACACACACATATCATGTAAACAAAAACTTTTATTTTGGATGCAATTAATCGTGATTAATCGCTTGACAGCACTAATTTAATTATCCGTGCGAGTAGATTACATATAAAGTCGATTTAAAGACATGAATAGGCGCGAGTTCGCGCCGGGTGACGCAAATCATGCAAATTGGATGATGTGATTGCTGCAAACGCGCGATATATACCTTAATCGCGTCTTCCACACAAGTTAAATTTTTTTAATTTGAGCGGAAAATTTGCATGATGCATTGTCACGCAATCAGCGAAGAGCTTATTGACACGTCCGGTTTGACACATCCCGTTGTATCAGTTTTTTTTAAGGGTTTTTATTCATGCAAGTGATGCAAAAAACATCCCGCGAGTAAACTAGAGCGAGTAACGCGATGCAAATATTCGCTTCACGTTTGGTGTGCACACACCATTATTTAAGTGGTCTAAATGTATTTATATTGTCTGTGGAAGGCGTATGAGCATAAAATGTTTGTCCAATCGTATTCCTCAGTCCGAGGGCTATGATAAGCTGTTCTACTTTCCTGTCAACGTACGTATTTGCATACCTCCGTGCACCCTGTTCACGCAGACATCATACGTCATCATCAGTGTGTTTCATTACGCTACTGCAGACCGAGCAAGAATGGAAGGCGTTAATATTGTAATATTATGTGCTTTGTACTGTAATGTTTTCTCACCGATGAATGAGACATGAGATAATCTGACCGAATTACATTCAACCCTGCACCAATACCATCTCTGATCATGACTCTGGTTAGCCTCTGGTCTGCCTGTGCGCGTTCATGTGTTTTGGAGGAGGCGTGGCTTTGGAGAGTGATTATGCAAGGAGGGTGGAATCTTATGCTTTCAAAGCTAGCTTTGAATAGTGCTAGCCTCCCCAAAATTGCCTACCCTACCTTTAAGATCTAAGGTAAATTATCATCACTTTTAGTATGGCTAAAAAGGTCACGCAAAATGATATTCAAACTCACGTTACACAATTCTAGCTTTATAGTCTGTATGCTGTTAATACTATACTAACTGTTAATAGAATTGTTGCTTATATAGAGTCACTCATCACTGTAGCTGGTTAGGACAAAAACTCTTAATAACACTGAAAAGATGTTTTCATCACATGTCGCAGCATCACGTCACATCTGGTTGGGACACAGTATTATTCTGGACCAAGAGTGCTAATCTAGAAAGGGAAAAAACATCTGACAAACATATAAAAGTGATCAAATCCAAGTTAGTTTATTTTATTTTTATTTTATTTTTTTATCTCGTAGGGATTGGAAAATCTTAGTTGCAGTTCACCCAAAAATTCTGTCATAATTTACTCAAATGAGCTCATGCTGTTCCAAATCCATAAGACTTTCGCTCATCATGTTTTTAATGAAATCTGAGAGATCCTGAAAGTCCTTTCCCCCAAACCTCTGACACTTCAAAAAGTTCATACAGTATATTTGACATATTTTACTCTATAAAACGGAGCTTGATATATGTGTGTTGATATATGTGTTGATTAATGTTCATTTGTGAATAAAAGCCTAAATTAAATATGTTCATTATTCAGAAGACTTGGATTAAAGTGCTGGATTCATATGGATTTTATAAACTTTATAAACTTTTCAAAGAATCAGATGTTTTGGTGGAACGGATTTTCAGTAGAGATACAGAAATCTCTCAGATTTCATTACAAATATGTGAATGTGTTTTAAAGATGATTGAATGTTTTATCGGTTTGAAGTAATTGCTGACATAATTTTCATTTTTGGGCGAACTATTCCTTTAGACTGGTGAAAAACCAGGATGGAAATATCTCATTCAGATAATGGTACATTTGACAAACAGTTATACAGAAAAGACAGGAGAAGTTAATGTACTCTACTCAAAAGTAATAAGTACAGACTGTTTCCAACAAAGTACAATATATAGATGTGCACACAGATCACATTTATTCGCTTCTAAGTGCTTCAAACTAAATTTCGAACAAGATTTGATCTCACAGACCTCACATAATTTGGCAAATCCAGTGACAAATATGCTATACACTGCCCATACAATCCAAATTACTGGAAGAATTTTGTTAACAAAGAATGTTTCATAGACTCTCATGTTTCTTCTTTTATGATTACACTAGTATGTTTAATTTAATCTAAAAAGTCATGTTATAGTATATTTTGCAGTATGTAGCACACACAATAGACAACCTTGTCAAGTAATATTCAATTACAGCACAGGGCACAAAAGTATTAATTACAACAGAATCATTAAATGACAATATAAGTTCATTAAGATTCATTTCAGCTTTTTCCCATTGTCATTTTGAAGAGCAGCAGGACCGTGAGAAATGATGATGTGTAAAATAACACTTATTCTGCTCTTGTACAGTGATCTTTAGTATCTGTCTGCCAAACGTTTCTTCCAAATTGTCCTTCATTTTACATTGTATATGTGGGCTGATATGAATATTGGCTTTAAAGCACCAACACTTTGCTTCTGTATCGTCTAAATCTTTCTTCCTGTGCAAAAGCGAGTCCTTTAGACTCAGTCATCATTTCTCAGGGTTTTATTATACCCTGCAGACTCAGAATCAATTCATGGACAGACTGCTTCAGAAAGACTAGAAGCCTTATGTCTGTCTTTCCCTCTACAAAAGTAATGTAGACGATTGCAAATGGTGTCATGAAAGGAAAAGTGAAATCAAGTCATGTTGCTATGAAGGTCATCGCTGACACAGTTACATACAGTAACACCCGGGTGGTTTGACACCTGGCAAACTTCAGGTAAGCGGAGAAATGGCCCGATGAACCATGTTTGGGGAACATAATTTATCTTCCTTTGCCTTTGCTCTAGTTTCTCCTCTAACGTCCATCTGTGCTTTTGACTCTCCAGAAACAGGACGAGGATGACGATGAAGAAGATATAGACATGGGAATAACTGAAGAGAAAGAGGAGGAACCGAAAGAGAAGGAGAAGCTCGGCAAACTGCAGTTCTCCCTTGACTACGACTTCTCTGACAACAAGGCAAGACCACTTTACACTTTACAGTATGCCCAGACTTTCCCAGATTTGTCCTACATACACATAACATTAACATTTGTATGAACATACTATGCAGTTTTTTGTATTTGAAGTATACATCAAGTGCATATTTTCATATTCTAAAAAAATATTTTAATGTACAGCAAGCTGAGTGAAACATATCTCTATACAGAAACTAAACACCTAGAAGTGCTGGCGTGAATTGGATACCACATGATGACATTTTATCCAATGATTGTTTAAAGCTATTCCTAAGGTTGTTTTAAAAAAAAACTGAAACCCCCTGTTTCAGCACTGGTTAGTTCTCACCGGTTTTAAAAAAATGCTAAAAAAATTTTGCGTGGTGCGCAGCGGAGGGGGTATAGGCTTAGCTCTCTGCCACAATTCTGCACACGAAAGATCATATTTTGAGTTTTCAGCATCTGAGTTTTGTGGAGAAAACGTTCGTTTCGCAATGAAAATGTATTTCGAGCGCACAAAAATCAATTTAGCATTTAAAATACATTTTTGGATGTGTGCAAACCTTCTCTTTTGCACGTGCAACGTTTCACGAGCTTGCGCCCTTGATCCCAGCCCTCAGTGCTCTCTAAATGCCAACAGCTCGCTTGCTCAACACAACCCAGCCATTACAATATGCCATAATTCCAGCCAATCAGAGACGAGGCTGCTAAATTCTGATTGGCTGCCTTGACAACCACTCACAATATTTCTTGCATTACCTCGACAGCAGAAGAGGAAAAATACAGTGCATGCATAATTATTATGCAAGTTGATATTCTGATTATATTTTTTTCCAAGCACATTTTACCAATTCCAAACAACATCAATCTTAATAACCATTATTAATCTTGTATTTAATCACTTATAATCTATATATTATTGTTCATGAAGGCTGGAAGTGAAAAACGCCTTATATTCAGGTGTGCATAATTATTAAGCAGGTTATCTTCTACAGATAAAATCTCGAGATAGACTAAAAATGAACTCCCAAAACTTACTGCCAGATTCTGGAAGATAAATTCTTCAAACAGTGATACAAGAGGATGTGGTGCTGGTCCTTCAAGAGTCACTCTAAACTTATCTGTCTATAAAGCATATAAAGCATAAATGGTTCCTGGTGATTTCACACCTAATTCTTCCCCTTAATTCCTAATTCTTTTGCAGTTAACATGCATCTTTTCTTCTCCACATGTTTTTGACTGACCCTGCTGACCCACTGAGCATTTTGCTGTCCAATGGTTATGCATTCACTTTGCAATTTCTAGTATTGTATTACTTTTGAATATTTCTCATGGGCATTTAATCATTTTTGACTTTCAGTCTGAGTTAAATCTCTTTTTTGGCTCATTTTTTTCTGTAAAAGAAAATCTGCTTAATAATTATGCACACCTGAATATAAGACATTTCTCACTTCAGCCTTCATGAATAATTATATATCAATTATAAATGATTAAATACAAGAGTAATAGTAGTTATTAAGATTGATGTCGTTTTGGAATTGGTAAAATGTGCTTGAAAAAAAATATGATCAGAATATCAATTTGCATAATAATTATGCATGCACTGTATTTTTCCTCTTCTGCTGTCGAGGTAATGCAAGAAATGTTGTGATTGGTTGTCAAGGCAGCCAATCAGAATTTAGCAGCCTCGTCTCTGATTGGCTGGAATTATGGCATATTGTAACGGCTGGGTTGTGTTGAGCAAGCGAGCTGCTGGCATTTAGAGAGCACTGAGGGCTGGCATCAGGTGAGCAAGCTAGTGAAATGTAACGCACTTTTGATCTTTCGTGTGCAGAATTGCAGCAGAGATGTAATCCCATAAGGGGGAGGGGAGACAGACAACACACACAGCTTGGGGTTCAGACAGTTTCATTTCACTCTCATTGAGTTAAAAACACAAATGCACAGCCATTTGCACTCTGCATTGAAAACATACATGAACGTGCTGTTGCACCTCTGATAACTTTTTAAGGCTTATTCTGCAGCAATTATATAATCCTTTTGACGAGTTGTGTCATGGAGCTGTAAAAACGGTTATGCTCACCAAGTGAATGAATCCGTTTGTGCCGAACTCTTATTACAAAGCAAAAACAAACACTCTCCTTCGATTCATGAACGTTTCTCTCAGATAATGTACACAATCTTACAGTCTAAGCGTCTGTCATAGCAAATCAGCACATGCTGTTGTGAATAATTAAGCAAAGTGTCTTCTCATAGGATAAGAACACGCAGTCTCATGAATAATTTAATAGACACCGACGCGTCATCGATGTACTATAGTACTTTGCCGCATCACAAATTGTGACATCAACACGATGTAGATTTTAAACCCGGAAGGTGAAAATGGTGCAAAAATGCTTAAAATTAACTTTTCTCCAATAGTTACAATTATTGGATTCTAACATTGTCTTCTATGATGTGCAACACAAACACCTCTGCTAAAATCTCAGAAAAATTAGTCTGGGGTTTCATGGCCCTTTAAAACCATCTGTTATCACTCAGAAATGTTTGCAAATGGACAAGAAGTCAGGAAGTGTCTTCAGAAACTTTCATTCAGGCTTTAGTAAATGGTAAATGGTCAATGACAAAATAAGTCCAGTGTTATTTTAGTATCCTAGTTTTTATTAATATTTATTTTTTATATTTTCCATTTTCATTTTAGTTCAAATGTTAGTCATTTTGTTGTTTTTGTCATTTTTATTAGTTTTTTAATGTCTAAATAGTTTTTATTTTATTTCAGTTTTAGTTATTTTAATTAGTGATTTGTTTTTTTGTATTTCGTTTTATGTATATTGTATTTATTTTAAGTGTTTTATATTGTATTGTATTTCACTTACAAGTATTTTATTTATTTTATTAAGTAATACATTTTTTTATGGTTTCAGTTTTAGTTAAATATGTGGTAACATTTACCCCCCCAATTTTGTGTCAAAAATGTCATTTCAATAGGAATACATGCATTCTAGAATTTTGCATAAGGGCATAAGATTAAATGAAGATTGTTCAACTGGTTTACATTTCTCGTGCAAATTCGCCATGCTGACCAACAGAAATCTATTTGGTTTTAAAAGATACTGGACCTTTTTTGATGCACCTTTAGATTGTGTCAGACCACCACCATACTGGTTTCATAGTGCTCTTGTGGCTTAACCATCGATCAAATAAAAAGTTCTAACAGATTTAGCTTGCACCTTGAATCCACTGTGAAGACTGTCACTCTTATCCTCTAGCTGACAGTGGGCATCCTGCAAGCCGCAGATCTTCTCTCCATGGACAGTGGCGGCACCTCAGACCCGTATGTCAAAGTTTTCATTCTCCCAGACAAGAAGAAGAAGTTTGACACCAAGGTGCACAAGAAAACTCTCAACCCCGTCTTCAACGAGACTTTCCACTTTAAGGTACAGCATCTATTACAGTACAGTACCAGTTTATGTCATTATCAAGTGTGCCTATCAAAGCAGTCATGGGCCGATGTTGATTTCTAGATTCCGTTCACTGAAATGGGAGGAAAGACTCTGGTCATGTCTGTGTACGACTTTGACCGTTTCTCGAAGCATGATGTGATCGGTGAGGTGAACATACCCATGAACACCCTGGACCTGGCACAACCTATCGAGCAATGGAGAGACCTGGATAGTGCAGAGAAAGAGGAGGTACGCCTGTCCTGCATCTGTCAGCCGCTTCACGTTAACTAGCAGCTGTCGTCCGCTAGTAATAATGAGAGTTAATGACCCAGCGCCTCTAAACATGCTTTTATGCTCATAATGTTACATAATGCTATTCTTTTCTACCTTAACACGTTTCCATTAAAACGACTGTTTGATGAGACACTATTGATGTATTATTCAATCTTCATTTACCCTCATGTTGTTCCAAACCTAGAAAACAGAAGCTCTTTTTCATACAATTAAAGTGAATAGTGACGGGGGAAAAAAACCCATGAAAGTGCATAAAACTACGACCAGTCAAATATTTGGAATAATTAAGAACATTTTTAATGTTTTTGAAAGAAGTCTTTTATGCTCACCAAAGATGTTTTTATTTGAACAAATTACAGTAAAAGCAGTAATATTGTGAAATATTAAATAACAATTTTATGTGAATATATTGTAATGTAATATATTGCTGTGATCAAAGCTGAATTTTCAGCATCAGTCTTCGGTATCCTTCAGAAATCATTCTGAGATGCTGATTTGCTGCTCAGTTACCATCAAATATTATTGGTGCTTAATGGTTCTCATACAGGCCTATGCTAAAAACAGTGTTTGCATAATATTTTAGTATTAGATACACTGGTACAATTTTTTCGGGAATTTTTGATGAATAGAAACTTCAATGATCTTCTGTAACATTAGAAAGGTTTTATAACATTAGGAATGTCTTTACTGACACTTTTGACGATTTAATTCATCCTTGCTGAAAAAAATGTGTAACATTTAAGGATCCAATAGGGCACGACTCATGATTGGACACCTAACATTGGCCATTATTGGACCCTCATATCATAATGGGATTTAGGCAATATTGTGATTAAACTTTACCTCTTGTAAACAAAATAACTAATTAAATTAAGCTCTATAATCATAACCATTCAACTCTTTGGCATACACCTATTTTAATCACAATAAACAGGCATCTAAACACCTTAATAGCATTATTACGGCTCTGAAAAAAAGTGTGCATGTGCTCGGACATACACGGATGCCAAGTGTTGTTCTCACAATTTCATAAATTAACTTTCATTTTTAAATGATTTTTCATTTTTGGGTGAACTGTTGCTTTAAGGCTGCTTATTTAATTTTTCCCAACACAGCCTGAAAAACTTGGAGATATCTGCATCTCTCTGCGCTATGTACCTACAGCTGGAAAACTCACCATCTGTATCCTTGAGGCTAAGAACCTGAAAAAGATGGATGTTGGAGGACTCTCAGGTACACACACACACACACACGCACACACAAAATGCACTGCCTTTTCTCTTCTCTCTCTCCTCCAGAGAGTGGGTGGCGATGAACTCCTGCAGAAGACTGGATGTTCCTGCACATGCAATAACCAAAAATATGTTTTGATTTCTGTTTTCTCTTTTCTGTTTGCACTTATATGTTATATATGTGCATACATTGCACATTCTTTTTTTCAGTTTTAATTATTCATTCATTTATCATGTTTCTGTCAGACACGCACAGCAGGCCTCTGTGCGCAGCAGTGCGTTTGTGTCACGTCTGTGCTTTAGTGTCAGTAAAATTTAAGGGGGTCTGAATACTTTCCGTACCCACTGTATATATATATAAGGAAAAACCTAAGGACTCTAGTCACAAATCAAAAGTTCAAAAATTCTAAATACATAAGAAGCAAGCTGAAACATCCACAGTATATAATTGCATGACTTCCTGTACTGATAAACCTCTGCAGATCCCTACGTGAAGATTCATCTTCTGCAAAACGGCAAGCGGCTGAAGAAGAAGAAGACAACTGTGAAGAAGAACACACTGAACCCATACTACAACGAGTCCTTCAGCTTTGAGATCCCACAGGACCAGATGCCGGTACGCTTTACACGGCTCAACACAAGAGTTTTACATTTCCATGCTCCTTCAAACTTTAAGCGCAATATCTGTTTTTTCTCCCAGAAAATACAAGCTGTGATCACGGTGCTCGACTACGATAAGATCGGCAAGAACGACGCCATCGGGAAGATCTGGGTGGGCAGCAGAGCGCAGGGCACTGAGCTCCGGCACTGGTCCGACATGCAGGCGAACCCACGCAGGCCCATCGCTCAGTGGCATCCACTCAAACCCGAGGAGGAGGTGGATGCCACATTAGCAGCCCTCACTGCCAAGAAGTAATCCTGTTCTTCTTCCTTCCCTCCCTCTCTCCTTTACCTCCCCCCTTCCTTTCTTTCACTTTTCAACATGCACACCATGTCATCTTACTCAATCAGCACTGAGTTACAGCCATGGGCCGCAGCAGTGCGTTTGTGTCACGTCTGTGCTTTAGTGTCAGTGGTAGCCATGCAGAAGAGATAGCGCTCACGTGCTGACTCTGCAGTCCTGCCTGTGCAGCGCACGCGTCCCCTACAGTCAGTCCTCACTGCAGCCACTTGCTGGCGGCTCTACTGTGTAAAACAAGACCTGAATAATTACTATGTTCCATCCAGTTATATTATGTATTCATATTAATCTTTGACTTAGCAATGTGAGTAATCAAATGTTTACTAGCTACAGAGCTGGATAGCCTGCATACTAGAGTGCAGTGTGTTACAGTCTTATTTTAGTAATATTAATATCTTAATATTAATGTGTTATTATGGTATTTATTCATATTTTGAATTTGCTTTTATTTTATTTTAATGAAGCTTTAAGCTTATTTTTTTAGTCATTTTAGTACTTCAACTTTTTTTCAGCTTTATTTCATTTACTGAATATGATTTTTTATATACTTTTAGTTTTTGTTAACAATGTTAACTGGATTGTCTGTGCTAGAATGTACAGTGGGTACGGAAAGTATTCAGACCCCCTTAAATTTTTCACTCTTTGTTATATTGCAGCCATTTGCTAAAATCATTTAAGTTAATTTTTTTTCCTCATTAATGTACACACAGCACCCCATATTGACAGAAAAACACAGAATTGTTGACATTTTTGCAGATTTATTAAAAAAGAAAAACTGAAATATCACATGGTCCTAAGTATTCAGACCCTTTGCTCAGTATTTAGTAGAAGCACCCTTTTGATCTAATACAGCCATGAGTCTTTTTGGGAAAGATGCAACAAGTTTTTCACACCTGGATTTGGGGATCCTCTGCCATTCCTCCTTGCAGATCCTCTCCAGTTCTGTCAGGTTGGATGGTAAACGTTGGCGGACAGCCATTTTTAGGTCTCTCCAGAGATGCTCAATTGGGTTTAAGTCAGGGCTCTGGCT